TGTGTAACGCTGTGTAAATGAGGAGACCAGCGTACAATTTACCGGCAAGGAAAACCCACTTGCACACAAATAAGCCAGTAAAATGGACGTACACGCAAAACTCAGGGCGTGAGATAAAGCCAAAGTCCAAATGGACGAACAACTAGGACTTTCCTCCAAAGCTTCCAGACGGTGAACGAAGAAGAAGAAGAAAAAGAAACGCTGTAACAACTGAACAATAGGAATAAACTCACAGGGAGCAAGTACAGCGGGAATCTACCAGTCATCAGTAGAAATTATCATCGTCGACACGCGTTTCGGCCCACGATTCCTAGACGCATTCGGAGGTGGGCCCTCCTGAGTTCATGAAGCTCAGGGCTGGTTCCCCGCTGTACGGAATTACCGGATGGTGTTTTACTTTCGGCCAGAGACAAGACGACTTGGTGGTTTCGAAGGAGGTACTGTGAGATAGGAAGCCGCCGCGGCAGCCTAATTAAAGCAGTCAGCATGCCTGGACGACCGAGCGACAAGCTTACTTTGGTTTACCGGACACATGTTGGACTTTTATTAGCAGTTGGCAGAGGAACACTGGCAGACAATTCGGACACGATGAACTTTCAAAGGGGTGAGAAACTCTTTTCCACAAGACACCCGGACCAGCTCACCGAGGCCCGTCCCCTACGTTGTTGCGCTGCGTCCAAAGCCAGCTAGAGGCCCTTTCTGGCCCTCTCCCAGTTTTTTGAGTGTTCGTTTCCGTTCATTACGCGCAATCCTAGTTCTTTCACCACACTGTAGAGCGAAGTGGAAACGAGGCCTCATTAAAACCACTATCACTGAGACCATATTAAAACCACTACTAACAAGACCATCATTACAACCATTACCAACAAGACCATCATTACATCCATTACTAACAAGACCATCATTACAACCACTACCAACAAGACCATCATTACAACCACTACCAACAAGACCATCATTACAACCACTACCAACAAGACCATCATTACAACCACAACCAACAAGACCATCATTACAACCACTACCAACAAGACCATCCTTACAACTACTACCAACAAGACCGTTATTACAACCACTACCAACAAGACCATCATTACAACCACTACCAACAAGACCATCATTACAACCACTACCAACAAGACCATCATTACAACCACTACCAACAAGACCATCATTACAACCACTACCAACAAGACCATCATTACAACCATTACCAACAAGACCATCATTACAACCACTACCAACAAGACCATCGTTACAATCACTACCAACAAGACCATTGTTACAATCACTACCAACAAGACCATCGTTACAATCACTACCAACAAGACCATCATTACAACCACTACCAACAAGACCATCATTACAACCACTACCAACAAGACCATCATTACAGTCACTACCAACAAGACCATCATTACAACCATTACCAACAAGACCATCATTACAACCACTACCAACAAGACCATCATTACAACCACTACCAACAAGACCATCATTACAATCACTACCAACAAGACCATCATTACAATCACTACCAACAAAACCATCACTACAACCACTACCAACAAGATCATCACTACAACCACTACCAACAAGACCATCATTACAACCACTACCAACAAGACCATCATTACAATCACTACCAACAAGACCATCATTACAATCACTACCAACAAAACCATCACTACAACCACTACCAACAAGACCATCATTACAACCACTACCAACAAGACCATCATTACAACCACTACCAACAAGACCATCATTACAATCACTACCAACAAGACCATCATTACAACCACTACCAACAAGATCATCATTACAATCACTACCAACAAGACCATCATTACAACCACTACCAACAAGACTATCATTACAACCACTACCAACAAGACTATCATTACAACCACTACCAACAAGACCATCATTACAATCACTACCAACAAGACCATCATTACAATCACTACCAACAAAACCATCACTACAACCACTACCAACAAGACCATCATTACAACCACTACCAACAAGACCATCATTACAACCACTACCAACAAGACCATCATTACAATCACTACCAACAAGACCATCATTACAACCACTACCAACAAGACTATCATTACAACCACTACCAACAAGACTATCATTACAACCACTACCAACAAGACCATCATTACAACCACTACCAACAAGACCATCATTACAACCACTACCAACAAGACTATCATTACAACCACTACCAACAAGACACCGCTACAGCCACTATCATTATTACAACCCCCCCCCCCCCCTCCCAATCCCCTCAACAACAACAAAAATAAAAAATAGCTCTAAACAACATTCAGTTCTTTCAACTATCTTTGACTTCTGCATCTCTGGAATAGGCATTGTGAACACACTTTGTAATTCTGAAATACCCAGTCTGATTCAGCTGTATGTGATTTGACAGCAGACTGCTTTTTTTATTAATTACGATAACAGTTTGGAGCGCTGACTCTTCAGAAGCAATGGCAAACTACTGAAAGAAAAGTTGCCTACTAAAAAAACTAGAAAGTGCAATGTCCTGTAAAAAGGATTTGCAGCTAACTTCAACAAGGTCAAATAAACCAATAATGATGGCATTGATTAACCTGCATGCAACCCAATATCCACAGGAACACAACAGCACTCAAACAGCAGATTACACAAGATTCCACTGGCCCAGTAACAAACAGTCTTGGATAACTCGGATCTTAGTGCATACAATAGGATAATTATTTTCTCAGACACAAACCAAATATATGGTTTCTATACTGTATTATTACAGCTAATGACATCTCTTTATTTGTCTGTCCATGACAGAATACCTTCTTATCAACATTTAAACAATAAACGAACAAATCCAATTCTAAACCAATTTCACAAAATTCTGATTATATTGATCGCAAAAACAAAAGATCTTCAAAGTTTAGCAGACACCGTCACATGCAGTTTGTGGGGCTCTGCAGCACAGAGATTAATTAATATGTTTAACAGTTTTATGATCTCTGACTGCTAGAATTCAATTTCCATTACAGTAAAAAAAAAAAGAAAAATTGCTTTTGTGATTTCACATAACGGTAAGAGAGCCCCACAATGGAAGAGATGGGGTCTCCACCATGAGGTGTTATCAAGGGCAACAGTGTTGCCGTTGTGTAGTGGCTAGACACTCGCTTGCGGATTGGAAGGTCATGGGTTCGGGCCCTGACAGAACTAGGCTTCTTTTTTGGGTGTTTTTAAAAATGACTTTGGTTCATAGGTCGATTCAGCCCTGAGTGGGTACCAGGTGCAGTCCTGGGAAGTAAAGGTGACCGGCGTGATGCTGACCAGGTCACCCACCAAGTGCCGAAAGGTCTATAAAATATAGGTCTATCTCTATATGCCTAATAGACCTGAATGCCTGGAGAAGGGTCCTTTACTTTCACAAAGACAACAGTGGCTGTAAAAAAAAAGTAAAGATCCCTTTTCACGCCTTAGGCGCATCGGGCGTCCCATATTTTTACAGACCAATCGGCACTAGGCGGGTAATGTGGTCAGCATTACACCGGCCGTCTTTACTTTCCCAGGACAGCCATCCTGATACCCATTTTAGGCTGTGTCGACCTGCGACGCCCCAAACTATGATAAAAATCCACGCAGCCAGCGGTGGGTTTCGATCACGCTGTAGTCAATCTTTATTGTGCAGTGAGAAGAGGATTCTGAAAAGTTATATACAGCCTGTACTGTTCTATAGGAAGTCATGGTAAAGCAACCGCTAGCATGTTTATTTCTCAGCCTGGTTAGTGGTCACTGACTCGTTGGTGTGCATTCACTGGCTGTAAACACTGACCAAATATCTGACCAAACATCCTTCTTGTTCATCATTCTGGACTCTGGCTTGGTGCCAGGGCCCGAGTTTTATGTGCACATCCATTTTACTGGCTTATTTGTGTGAGGTATGTTGTTCCTTGCCTCTCAAGCGTAGGTTTTCAGATTCTCTGCTTAACATACATATCAGCATCCAATGGCTAATAATACCATTTCTGTGCCGGGGGGGGGGGGGGGAGGGGGCGGGGGGGGGGGGTTGGGGGGGGGGGGGGGGGGGGGGGGGGGGGGGGGGGGGACTTTCTTGTGTGTGTCAGGAGTGCCATTCGTGCCTGGCTGTACCAATCTTTACTCTCAATTCTTGCCCGGCTTTCTAGCGTAGTTGGCTGAACCGGATTGCGCGGTGACCTGGTGACGAACTCCTTGTGGTCCGGGTTCACTCCCAGGGGTAAGCAGAAAAGCCACATTTCTCCCAGATTTACGGTATTTACAATGGAATCAAGGCGGAAAGGTTGCAATATCCATAATACCGAGCCTAAGGGTTAACAACTCATGGCTTCTGGATACTAAAACAAACAAACAAACAAACAAACTCTCAATTCTTGCATTCTCATCAGCAGTTCGGATATACTTGCTTCAAAATCATCCTCTGTCTTTAATATTGAAATAACTATAGGCTGGATAACTGTGTCTATGGCGACAGCAGTAAACCTCTTTGCGCTTTCATAGCTAACAACACATGCATGCCTCAGGACAAAGATATGGGTAAACTATGCACAATAGATATTTGCAGTGAATGGATCCAGTCTTGACTCTCTAAGATAATAATCAAGGAATCCCTCAGTACACTTCTTCTTCTTCTTCTCTTCCACCATTTACCTCAGCGAGGTGTTGGGAAGGGGGGGGGGGGAAGATGTAAGGATCGTTTCTGCCCACAGGTGGAAATAGCCAAATGATTGCAGCCAGCATCAGTGATTGGAAGAACAGTTGGCTTTGGTCCATGGATCATGGTAGTGGTGTGCGGCAAAAAAAAAAAATAAACATACACATACAAGCACACACACAACAAGCAACTCGTGCACACACTTGTCTAGAGCTCTTCCTGGTTCAAGAGGGACAAGACACTTAAGGCACAGAAATAAACAAACAAACCACTTTATCACACATGAGGTACTTACCGCAATGCCCACCTCCTTTGAAGAATAGTTGGCATGGGTCCAAGGATCACAGTAGTAACTGCGACGGAATTTGGTCAGTGTTCCAGCCGCATGAACTGTTACATCGTTTGTGTGAAAAGAGGCATTGATGACCAGTCTCCCATCAAAGACCAGGCAGGCACAGTTGATGGCTGAGGACAAGAAAAGTACAGAACTGAACAGTTAACACGCACATGAGCAGAGACTCATCATTGAAATTTTCAGCCCCAAAATAGGATTTCCACCTGCACAGGTGAGCAAAGAGAGTTGAGTTGAGTCAAGAATTGACATCACAGCACTCGGGGCATTCCAATGCATGCCACATCCTCATCTTCAGCAGCCTCTCCATCCTCATCTTCAGCAGCCAGCAGCAAAGAGTTCCAATACTGATGGTACCGGTCATAATCTGGTTAAATGTCCATCTCGCCTTTCCTCTGAGTGTAGTCAGCTGGCCAGATCCTCTGGTTACACGCAGGTGCCTCATCCTCTCCAGGCCATAATAATCTTTTTTCTCTACTGATTCTGTTGCTTGTTCCCAAAGGGCCTTGACCACACCTGCCTTGTAGGCGAGTAAAGAGAATAATGGGCCAAATACTTCTGGTGAAATATCCCATAGCAAAAATCTTGGCAGAGAACAGCCATGTCTGATTTTTCTAGTTTTGAACAGGGCAAGAGGAATGGCTGGCTGAATCATTAGAATGCTGGACTCTCAGATGACAGACCCATGTGTTCGATTCTCGGTAAGGATATTTGTCCCAGGGTATGCAGGTATTGCTGAAATACTGGAAGGTGCTGCATTAATTAAAGATTGCTCCCCCATGGATCACGCAGACATTGTCATTGCCCTTAGAGAGATAGGACGTTCTAGGGATTTTGAAAGCAACGTGCCCACATCACTGCTAAGAATACGAGAATTTGGAGTTAAGGTCGGCACAGCCAAGCATGAGAAGCACACAGGACGCACAAGCAGTCTTGTTAACCAGCATAGAACTGGCAGCATTAACCGCGCAATGCTAATGAACGTGTTGTGAGGGGAATCTGAGCACCTATGGATGTGTCCGGAGTGCTGTGAAGATAATCCAACTCATAACTTAACTCTCGGTAACTGCAGGAAAAGTGAAATGTACTCTGAAATCATGAAGATAGAACAGTTCTTCTTTGCTATTCCAGCAATAAATGCGTCAATTTCTTTAATCCCTGCCCAATGGACTAATGTGAAAAACGTTTGATGTAAAAAAAAAAAAAAACCATTCTTAACTCTTTGAGTCCCAGGGGGTTTAGCATCACAGGCCCAGAGGATAGTAAGGAAATTAATAAATCGGCGCATCATGTGTTCATTGGGCTTCTAGGTAGGAACCTATGAATGTATGATGCGTTTCTTGGGACTCAAAGAGTTAAAAATAAAAACTAAAAAAAAAATAAAAATCTGGTTAGGTCAAACTGATAGTCTAACACTATATGCCCAATGTGCCAATAGCAGGAGAGAAGTATTTTTTCCTTTCTTAGCATTTACCTCATACACATTTAAAAAAACACCTTTACTCTCCTTTTATCGTAGTATATTCCATGTGGGTTCCGGGGTCTAGTTGTGGGGATGGGGAAGGTAGGGGGGGTGTATAAACTCACTGACCCCCTCCCCCACCCCAAGAAGTATGTCATAAAAGTCAACTAATTAGAGGCATTTCCTTGTAAGTGAGAGAGCAGCTTCCTGAGAGGCGATGAGCCAACAATCTGCATACAAACAAGCCAGATCTCTGAAACAGCATGCAGATCTCAGGTTCTAGAAAAGACCATAGTCCAGAAGTTGACTGACAGCCAGAACTTTCCATCAGATTTCACAGCCGATGAACATGAAGAAGAAAACTTACAGCACTATCATTTATGTTTTCACAGCCAACAGATAATAATAGGTCGACCCAGCCTAAAATGGGTACCAGGATGTATGTCCTGGGGAAGTAAAGACGGCCGGCATAATGTTGACCACATTACCCACCTAGTGCGGATTAGTCTGTAAAAATATGGATGCTCTTTCCATATGCCCTATGCGCCTAAAGGCGTGAAAAAGGATCTTTACTTTTTACTTTACTAACAGATAATAATGACAAAAGTAAGCTTTAGATAATGATTAAAATTACCTTTGAAGGCATCTATGTCCACACCACGTTTGTAGAAGCAGATCAATGCCTGTTGTATTAAGTTATAAAATGATGTGTAAAAGTCAGTCAGAGGTCTTAAGATGCATCTCGATAAAAATGTTTCTATACCTTTCTAAAATCTGTCTTCTATTCCTGCAGTTGCCTCGTCAAAGTGTTGAAGGAGATGTCAGAATCTTCTGTGTGTTTTTTAGAAAGCTCTGTATAAATTTACCCGCACTGCTTTAAGACATTCTTAATCCCACCTTCCTCTTGCTCTGTGTTTAATATAATTCTTCATTGTGGCTCTCTGTGGCGGTTGGTACCACAGCATTCTTGTCAGATGGCCAAACCATCTCACCTATTGTTATTTAATGAATTATACGCTGTTTTCAGTCCTAGCTTCTTTTAATCACTTAATTTTACTTTGATTCTCAAGTATATAAAGGCAAACAATTATTAATTCATTAATTCATCGTCCTGTTATGCTATTATACATCACATAGAACTTGCTGACTTTTGTTGTATCTTGTGCCGTCACTTTGATGCCATGGATGCAATCTGGTTCAACACCTTCAGCTTTTCTTATCAACCTTTGACAGGGTCTCACACTTTCCTCAATCCCTCTATTTCCCATTTCAGTGCCTGTTTGGTGATTCTCCGTTCATCTCTACTCAGAATGAAAAGAACAGCAACACTATAATTTTCGGACATGCAGAAAAAAAAATAAAAGGTGGCTAGGCAGGATTGGCATGAGACCGGCAGTCTAATCCTACAGAAAACTTTAGCTGTAAATTCAATCAACCATAAAAAAGTCTACCAACTTAGGAAGAGATGGTTGAGAGCCTTTGATCCATGGGGTAGTGAAGAGAAGAAACATTAAAGGGGGAGGGGGTGTGAAGAGGGGGAGAAGAAGGAGGAGGAGAAGATAAAAAAAGAAGTACAGAGAAGAAAAGGGGAAGAAGAAGAAACCGAGGAGAAGGAGAAGATGAAGAAAACGTACAGTAATGAGCAGGGGAAGGAGGAGGAGAGGAGCAGGAGGAGGGGAAGAAAAAGAAGAAGAGGAAGAAAAATATAAATGATGCGGAAAGGAACTGGTCTTCCTATCTCATTATGCAGTAACCTAGAAAATGTGAAGGCCTAATACTGCACAACTAGTCTATCTTGATGTTTCAATTAAGTAAAGCCAACTGCTACAGAGCTTAATGGGAATAGTTGGCTGGTTGGTTGGTTGTCAATCCTCAGGGAAGCGTGGAGTTTTCACTCTTAAATCTAAAGGATTCAAGTTTGGGTCATCTAAAGCCTCGACAAAGCCTTACATCCGTTGCAATGATGTCGGCATGGTGATTTTTCACCAGCCCTAATGTCCAAATGTATCATCTCTACAAGGACAGTGTTGTGAAGCTCATTTTCTCCTATCAGAGAAGCCCGAAAACCAGTGCAATGTGCAAGACAGGTACTAAAACTACACATCTGTGGACAGGCATATTAGGAAGTGGGAAGCAGTGGTAGCACTGTAGCTAGATGCTTGCCTGCGGACCTAACGTCTGTTGGCAGCATCCCAACTTGTAGTTACTTTATATCATAACTGCCAGAGGGGTTGCGTTAGCGCAGTCGATACGAGACTCGCTTTCAAATTCAGCGGCGACTCGCTGCAGCCCACGGTCAGTGTTTGGAACTTGGCGGTTCCTGGGTTCCAGAGTTGACACACTGGGGTAAATGGAGGAACGTCGCTGTAGCTACGGAGTTACGTGCGGATGGCGACACAGGCGGACAGTTTCTTATCAGCTGTCCATACTGGTAGCAGAGCACTTATGATTTATAACCGTGTGCAGTGAAGTCTGGTTCACATCTCCCGACTTTACCATTTCATAACTGCCAGGGTCTACATGGATTAGTATATCCCTTAGTAGGGCAAAGGGACTTGAGAAGCATTTAGAAGATTATCATTATGTAGCAGGTCCTTTGCAGAACGTCACTCCCATCACAGTCTGCTTGAAAGAAGCTCGGCCTCTCGCCAACTCTCCTGCCTCATGCACTTTCATATTCAAGGCCTAACTTGTGATTCTGTTACAAACATACCTGGCACTCAATTCTAATATGACTGCGCTGATTTGTAAATGCAAGTGTCCTGATTGGACTGCCATCACTCATTTCTCCATCGTTCCAGTTGGCCAGGTAGCAGTCAGTGTGAACTTTGATCCCAAGGTTACGAAGGGTGGACTTCATCTCATTCTCCACAACTGGGTTGTTGAAACAACTGATACCCTGATAAATACAATGAAATAAATATTTACATTTGTGACAACTTAACCTCAGGACAACAAACCCATTTGTGGTTCACCTGATTTGAATCTTTGACTCTCTCAATTGGCAACATTTAATTTGCAGCTCCGGAGTGTAAAATTTTAGTAATAGTCAAAGGACCCACTTTAATCCACTGCCTCCCCCCCCCCGCCATACTGCTTGTCTGTCTTCTACACATAAAGCCTAGAAGCCTGCCAAGAGCATTGCACAAAGCACTAGCTCTGTAGCTTCGGTGATGATCCCATGGGATCTCCCTAGAATTGCACCTATGAACTCAGCAACACAGTTAAAAAACAAACCCATGACCTTCAGAGCATGAGGCAAACCACTTGACCACTTCGTTCTAGAACAATCCACCCCCCCCCCCCCAAATCCTAGTTTAATAGTTGGTAATAATTAATCACAGTCTGAAATTTAAATCTTTCAGTAACATTTAAATCTTTCAGTAACATTTAAATCTTTCAGTAACATTTAAATTTTTCAGTAACATTTAAATCTTTCAGTAACATTTAAATCTTTCAGTAACAAATCTTTTAATAAAATTTAAATCTTTCAGAAACATTTAAATCTTTCAGTAACATTTTGTTGTGTGCTAAATGAGTCAGCACACTACCAAGTGCCTTAGCAGGTACTCTTCCGCTTCCTCTCTTAGAAATCAAACTCGACCACGATGACACCGTCATACATGTTTATTTAACAGGATACATGACACAAATGCAGAGACGTAGTTATTGATCACAGCTGACATTTTCACATCGTTCATTTGTCCTCACTCAATCTCTATCTCTCAATTCGTCTCTCCTTGACTACTACAGCTCCAAGGACTACAGCGTCCCACACTTTTAACGCGCCGTACAGCTGAACAGGACGACTTCTCCCATTCACTGGACCTTGATATTAATTCAGCATACAACATGGCTAACTGGAGACGGCCTCCTCTTGCCGTACTCCGAAACCAGGCACTACTGGCCTTCCGTCCCCTGGACTTACTTTGCCAGCGGGAACATATCTTCTTCAGTAACGCAACCTTGACACTTACTCAGACCTAAATACCTGATAGTCGTACGGTATTCTAGTCTGTTAGACTCGCGAGAGATATCCCGGACCCTGACTTGGTCTCTGACTCTCGCTTTCTCTCTCTCTCTTCTCGCTTCTCTCTCTCGGCTGCTTCTCGATTGCCCCCGAGGGGCTTTAGCCCTCAGGCTACAGCTCACTCACCCGGACCGTCTACACAGCCCAATTTATCCCTGTCAAATCCGTGTAGGTGGATGATGTATACACGAGAGGCACGCTTGTATGTGCGTTCTCGTGACTCATGATCCCGTGGGTGTTCTCGGGACTCACGCTCACATGGGCGTTCTCGAGGATCACGCTTATGTGGGTGGCTGATGTTACCTGAGAATCAGGCTGTCACTTAATTCACACTTTCTCTGTTTATCTCGTTATCCATGCTTTCAGCCCCCCACAAACAGAAACCCACGCGTCCACTTTCTCTCGTGCGTGCACGCATTGTTCATGAATAGACATTTTTACTGGTCTCCTCTCAATACTCGGACCATGTTGACACTCTTTCTCCGTGAACTTACAGCAAATCCTGGCATACCACTGTCCCTTCACACAATATCACACTTTACCCAAATCAACGCGCAACACATTTAAATCTTTCAGTAACATTTAAATCTGTCAGTAACATTTAAATCTGTGAGTAACATTTAAATCTTTCAGTAACATTTAAATCTTTCAGTACAGGAAAATCTACCAAGTGTTTATTAAGTGTTCGGTATCAGACATGCATTGCTAAATTTCATTGGACCTATTCTTCTGTTAGGTGAATATTTTCTATCTCTAATGTTACCTTTACTCATCTGCCTCAACTGTTGCATTATTTCAACTCACTAGGATGTAAAGCTTGTAACTCTAAAATGAACAGGCTCAATAATGGTCAGTATCAAATTAATAAAAAATGACCTTGGCTCCCAGGTCAAACCAGCCTTGAGTGGGTACCGGGTGCAGTACAGGGAAAGTAAAGGCGGCCGGCGTGATGCTGACCACATCACCCATCTTGTGCCGATTGGTCTATACAAATATAGGTCTAGCCCTATATGCCCTATACGCCTAAAGGCCTGAAAAAGGGTCCTGTAGTTTTTTTTTTTTTACTTATCAAATTAATAACTGCTTGGAACTGAAAGATATAACTAACTATCTGGAGCAATAGAGCTTTGCAAAGACTTCTAAAAAGTAGAATTTTCAAGTAGGAGAACTGATGAGACGAATTGGACTACAACCAAAGGAGACGAACCACTGTAACAACAATTTTTGAGATCAGCTATAAAACAAAATGTAAGTTTGACATTTGAACCAACTGTGCTTGAAACTAGATGGCTTTAAAAAAACACTTTAAAAAACAAAACAAAAAACATTTCAAAGAAAAACATTTTGATAAAACCAGCTGCCCTATCTGGCTCTGAAACCTGGAGTACAACTGAAAGAGACAAAATCTTATTACAGACTTTAGCGACCAGAGTCATAAGACAAATCTTTAGACCCATCAAAATCAAAAATAGGAGAGAGTGAAGAAGGAGAATACAAGAATACAATTTATAATCTGATACTAATTACTTGCATTATGCAATTGTTGGGGTAATAGAGTGAATGGCAGATACAAGAAAGACCAAAACTGAGTATACAAGAACTGTATGGGAATATATCATAAGATAGATCAAGAAGATGGTAGAGAGGAATACACACACTGTAATAAATGCACTTGTATCTAATGCAGTTATGTCTAGAGGTTAGGTCATAGCTTAATCTAACAAGACTGCACTGCTCTCATCGGTCACACGACTTCTAACGACGGTTGACACCAGCTGATACATTTCATCAGTTTATTATCACTGTAGCACAAGACACGAATCAACAACGATGTCCACTTACACCATTCGGGGCAATCTCAACTTGCTCAGGCATTAATGCTCCAGACATGCTTCAGACGATGGACACTGGCATATTCATGGCTGGCTCAACAATCAAACGGTGTAACACTACAGCTGGCCTTCACTCTCATTCATTCGACTTTGATTCAGTTCCACGTGCTCGCTTCATTCTCGTTTCATCTTCACAGATCCAGTTTCACATCCTTCCTCTCTGGGGCCCAGTCACCGAATGACCGCCTGATTCTCAATCCCCCAGATCTCACCATTCACACGTGACTCACTCTTTCCTGTCATTTCACCATATCTCCGTGAAACCCATGCTCTCAGGGACTTCCCCAATTATGCCCGTCACCCCCTGATGTTATCCCTATTTATAGCATCATTACACACACAGATAAACACCTGAAGTCACCAATTTGAAAAAGGCCAGATACATGTGCTGACTATAAAGTTTATGATCTGTCAACTCTAAAGATGTCTGCTATGTTCAAGACTTTTAAATTCTATGGATCTCTGTGTACTAATAATTCTGTGCAAGTTTGTCTTATAAATGTTGTCCACTTTTCCCCTGTAGTGGGCCCTGGAGCAGAATGTAAGACGGGCCTGTGTGCCCAATTCTTAACCCTTTAAAAATAAAGTTTGTTCATTCGTTCGTTTGCTCTCTCTGTCTGTCTCTCTCTGTCTGTCTGTCTGTCTGTCTCTCTCTCTCTCTCTCTCTCTCTCTCTCTCTCTCTCTCTCTCTCTCTCTCTCTCTCTCCCTCTTTTATTTTTCATTTTTTGGCATTGTTTTTATAAAATGCTATAAAATGTGACCACACCATGTCAGTTTCCATTTTGTCAGGACTTCAGGAGTTTTAGGCATATAGGGCTTGACTTATATTTTATAGACTTATCAACACTCAGCAGGTGATGTGGTCAGCAGCATGCCCACCACCTTTACTTCCCAGGACTGCACCAATACCCACACAAGGCTGGGCAGATCAAAAACCTGTAGAAAATAAATCAAGAGAAACTCACGTCAGTTACTGGTGGTTCCACAAGAACTAGGTCACTCCCGGGAATACCCATTTTCAGCAGTGCTTGCAGGCAGGTCAAAGCATCCATAGTACCGCCATACACAACAATGGCTTCTACAAAAGACATAAAAATTGTGATTACTATGTATATATATATCTTCTGTTTCTTTCTTGTGCTCATTCAAACTGTTAAATCATTATCATCATCATCATCGTCATCAAGTGCCTTGCCAGCTGGCGTAGGCATTCATGCATCTCCACAGATCTTGGTCTCTGGTGTTCTGGATCAATTCCACTGATGATAATCCCACATGCCACTGTCTCAAGCCATCCACCATCATTTCTCTTGGTCTGCCTCTGCCTCTTCTTCTACCAGTGATCTTTCCAATCGTCACAATATTTTCCAGTGCTCCTTTTCTCATCATAGGACCAAAGACCTTTGTTTATCTCCTTCTCTTTGTTGTATATAAGGGTCTACTTTCATTAGCCATTTTATTGCAATCATTGTTAGTTATTCTAGCAGTCCAAGATACTCGTAACACTCTTCTCAAAAACTGTAAAATAAAAATAATTAGAATAAAAGCAGTAGTCAGTTTCAGGTTCATGACCTTCTAGCTCAGTTTCTGGCAGAACTTGGTTGAAGCATATTTGTTTACAACTCTAAAGTTGGGCAAGATGTAGCTTGTCTCTAGCCACCACATGATTAATGTCACAGACACAGAGATTGTATGAACTGGAGGGTTTCTTTAGTGAAATGATAATTTTTGAAATACTCTGGTTCAGTTCACATGTGCAGTTTTCCCAGATATTCCTGCAGGTAATTGTAGAAGTTTAGATCATAAATGCAGATATGAGGAGAAAAACAGAATGTGCATCACTGGCAAATTTTATCAAAGTTAGACGATGATGATGGCATAGACATGTTTGCAGAATGTCCTGTGACACACTGGCTAAAACGGCTCTCCGGTGGACAGCAGATGGGAAAAAGAGACTTGGACAACCTCAGGAAACCTGGAGAAGGACAACAGAACGGGAAATAAAGGAATGTAAACTGACATGGGATACCATGGGTAGAAAAGCAGCAGACAGGCAGCAATGGAGATCACTTGTGAATGCCTTATGTGTCAACAGCAATATGAAGAGGATACAGAATTGTAGAGGTTGTAGAGTTTGACCTCTATGGAATGCTTGCAGCAAATGGCATACAAACCACAATGCCATAAACCTCTTTGCAATGAAGTTAGTTATCTTACTTTGGTGTTTTTTCTTGATATTCATAATATGTATATTATCATATGAATATAATATGCTTTGTTGATAACATAAACTGCTGTGTGAAAGATGGGTGCATGGAAGGGCCAAATGTAAAATGGGCCTGCCTGCCCAATTTGTGACCCTTTGAAAATAAAATTTGTTTGTTCGTTCGTTTGTTCACCTTTCATTCTAAAAGACTAATTACCATGCTCTCTGGAACTGACAGTTACAAACAAGGATGAGGAAAGGGAAGGTTGGACTGGGAGAAATATCTCCCATCATGTTTAACTCGTTCAGTCCCATGCAACTCACCCTGCGTTTTGTTAAGCTCTCATTCATTAAATATTATTCTTAACTGGGACTCAAAGAGTTAAAAACAAAAATAAATAAGTGTACAGAAAGTGGCTGAAAGACAATAGTCTGGGAACATACATGGTAAGAAGTGGACACAGAATCATCAAAAATCTACTAAAATAAAACATACAGTCTGAAAAATGTTTGCCCGAGAGAAACACTAAGGTAAACACTGACAAGACAGGCCAAAGTTGTATTGGATTCCACCCACGACACTGAAAGATCTGCACAGGATAAAATGAAGTGGAAGAGTAGACTGTTAGCCCTACATGAGGTTTAACATCACAACAGGTTAGTGGTGATGATGATGAATTATTATGGTATTGCCAAATATAAGCACGTATACATACATGCATGTGCACACACATACATACATGCATGCACGTGCACACAATTTAGTGACAACTTGATGAGAAAAGTACAATTTCTATCCTAACAGCCAGCACAGAGTTCACTATCAAAGGTGCCAGTTAGCATCTGATTACACACATATCTGTTTTTGCCTTTGCTCTGAGTGTTGGTTAAACCCTTTAGTCACTTCCTGTTGCAATATTCTCTTTACACCATAATAATAATAAATATTTACTGGAAGCAAGAAGCAGCAATTAAATTGGGGGAAAAAAAAAAGCAAGCAGTTATGAACAGATAAAGCAAGCAGTGAGACAAGGATGTGTTTTGTCACCGGATCTTTTCTCTCTCTATAGTGAAAAAATAATGAGGGAGGTCAAGTCTGAGGTTATAATATATACAATCTCTGTTATGCAGATGATACAGTAATAATAGGTCAGCTCTGTGGCTAAGTCGATGCGAACGCTTCGTAATGCCGGGATGCCTGGTTCGATTCCAACTGCGGGCCATGCGCCTTGCGCTGGATTCGACAGTGGTATCAAAGAAGCCGACCGTCAAGAAAGCAATGGCAAACTACCAGATGTAAATTTGACTAGAAAAACCACACAACAGCCAGAGGCTGTTGAGGTTGGTTCTGCAACGTCCTGTAAAGGATACGCAACTAACCTTATGAACCTTACAGTAATAATAGCTGACAACGCAGAAGACCTGCAACAACTATTAGACATTATGGTCCTAGAGGGTGCAAAAAAAAAGGGACCCTCCTTGAACATTAAGAAAACATAAACAATGGTTATATCAAAGAAGAAGATAACCCCAAAATGTGACATAGCAATTGAAGGGAAAGTGCGTAACCAAGTCAATAAATTCAAGTATTTGGTAACATTTATAACATCAGATGGATGATGTGTGACAGAAATTAAAAGCAGAATTGGCCAGGCAAAGGCAGCTTTTCAGAAGATGAAAAGTATCACTTTAATTAAACATCAGAAAACAAGAATTGAAATGCTATTTCGAGCCAGTTCTGTTGTTTGGTAGTGAATTTTTGACTGTGAGCAAACAAATGAAGAAGAGTTTGGAGGCAACTGAGATGTGGTTCTTGAGAAGAATGTTGAGAATACCTTGGACTGCCACAATAACCTGAAAATGGCTGATGAAATTAGAACATTAAATACAACAATGAGAAGGAGACAAAGTTCTTTGGTCATGTAATGAGAAAGGGAGCATCGGCAAATATCGTGACGACTGGAAAGATCACTGGTAAAAGAGGCAGAGGCAGAGGCAGACAGAGAATGATGATGGATGGCTTAAGACAGTGGCACGGAGGAATATCATTAGCAGAATTGATCCAGAACACGAAAGATCGAGATCTGTGGCAACACATGAACACCTACGCCAGCTGGCAAGGCGCTTGATAATGATGATGACACCATAATTATCTTCTTTTTGCTATGTATTGTTGACATGCTCTAATTTGGTTAAAAAAAAACATTAGTCAGGCGCCTGAAAAACCTCTTAACTCTTTCAAGTAACACAAACGTTCATAGGTTCCTACCTAGAAGCTCAGTAATTAAATATACGCCAATTTTACGGCCATCTTCACCACCCCTTGGGCCTCTTATGCTAAATGCTTGGGACTGAAAGAGTTAATGAAGATACATTTTTGTAATACTGAACATAAAATGTCTAAAGGTGAAAGAATCAACTTCATTATACCAGTGTCATTACATGACTCAGTGTGTTTCTACAATGAAGCTAGTCTTCTGCCAGTGACGTCACACAAAGCACATACTCTGTAGTTCTAGTCACTATTCCTTGGGATCTCCTAAAAATATCTCGCCTGAACTGAAAGACACAGTGTGAGAAAGAACACATGACCTTCAGAGCTTGGAGCAAGCAGCTGAACAATTTTATCCTGAGTCACCCCCCTGAAATACTGAAATCAGCTGTAGTACTCAGAAGCCTTCAAGTAAACATTACTGGGAAGTTTAAAAAACATGCCCAACTGATGACAGTTTGGTACTGACCAAGATGATTTGATAGGATGAAAGAATATTCCCTGTATGGATTCTGCGGCCTGTTGTGGGGACAACTACAAGTACAGACCCACTGCTTCCCCAGCAAGCATGTCATAAGAGTCGACTAACTGGAGGATTATTCTAAACTCAGAGGGGCTCTGCCTGAGAGGCAAGGAACCAACAATCTGCAGAAACAAAATTCAGATCTGTAAAATGGATGTGCATGCAACACTCAGGTTCTGGAACAAGAATAAAGTCCAGAGGTGGACAAACATCCAGAACTTTCCACTGGAGTTTACAGCCTGCGATTTTGAAGAAGAAGATGATTATTACTCACTGTTTGTCTTCATCAACTGGTGCTCCACTCTGTGCATCAACACCGCAGCATCGTAGGAGTCATTGACCAGGAACAGGTTAGAAGGTACCCGGCCACTGTATCTTTCATCTGGTGACTGCGGCAAAGATTCATTGCAGGCTCCACTGTAGACATCTGCTCCTGTGGGCGCTGGGACATAGTACTGTAGGCCTGTGGCCAGGATCAGGTGGTCATATGGCACAATGGCACTGCCATTTACAATAACCTGTTTCTTGGTTCTGTTATGGAAGACAAACAGAAATATTATAAATGTTTAAACAATCAGGTGCCATCTTCTTCTTCTTCTTGGCATTCACCAACTGTAAAGTCTGGCGGAAAGTTCTGGTTGTTCATCCACTTCTGGACTGCGGTCGTCTTCCAGAACCTGAGTGTTGCATTTGCATCCGTTCTACAGATCTCATTCATTTGTATGCAGACTGCTGGTTCCTTGCCTCTCAGGCAGATGCACTCCAACTTTGAAGGAAGCTCGCAATTAGTAGGGACAGGCTTTTGGGTAGGCAGTGGGTCTATTCTTGTTTTCCCTATAACAGGGCCCTGGAACCCACATGGGGAGATGCCACCTGCACAGTAAAGCTTGGCTGCAATGGATCTCCAACATCCTCTGGCTCTTGTTTTGGTTGTGCACTCTCTCAGGCTGCCGCACATCCGTCTTTGGATGTTGTCCTCCCACTTATATTGTTGTCTATCTCTTAATCTCCTGCCCTCGACCTTTCCCTCAAGCATGGTTTTTAAAAGAGTGTTATATCTTTTATTGTGGCCAAAATATTTCAATTGCCTGTTTCATCATTTATAAATGTTAAAAGCCTTAAAAAGTATTTTTCTGTTTTTTTGCAGCATCGGCTCTTAATCAGATCACTCCGAACCATTGTGATCTTTGCTATCTCCTGCAGTTTTTTTTAATGTTCTTCCAAAATTATGAGAATTTCTGCATAATTTGATGTCTTTTTAAGTCTCCCTCTATTACTTCTGCTTTGTGGATTGTATTAGCATATTTTCTCAGTGTGTGTAAAATCCATTGTCAGCATCGATTCTTCACCATTTGATTCAGTTAACTACTTCAAAATGTACAGGAAGTAAATCATACAATGCTTTTAAAAAAAATGTGCATGTGCACACACACAAACATTTACACACAGACACCACGCACACACACACAGATACACACACACACACAACAGAGACATGCACACACACAGACATGCGCACGCACACACATGCACACAGACACCATGCACACAGACACACACACAGAGATACACACAGACACAGATACACAAGCACAGACATGAGCACACACACACATATGCACACAAACACATGCATGCACATACGCACACACACATACACAGAAAGAGAGAGAGAAAGAGAAAGAGAGAGAGAGAGAGAGACAGAGAGAGAGAGAGACAGAGAGAGAGAGACAGAGAGAGAGACAGAGAGAGAGACAGAGAGAGACAGAGAGAGAGACAGAGAGAGACAGAGAGAGAGAGCCAAACAGAACATAACTTTATCCTCTTGAACCACAGGAAATATTTCTTCTTCTTCTGCCTTTCTAACCCCTAGTGGAGCATAGGCCTTCAACCAAGTCACGCCATATTTAGGATGTATTCAATGTTTCCACCCTGTGCAGTTGCACATGACTTAATATGGTCCTGAATGCATGGGATGGATGTATGGGTTGTTAGTAGGGAAGCAGATGCTGCCATCATCTGCATAAGCTTGTGATTTTGCTTATAATAGTAACTAAACAGTAAGTAAAGTAAAGGACCCTTTTCCATGCCTTAAGGCGTATTGGGCATGTAGGGCTAGACCTATATTTTATAGACCAATAGGCACTTGGTGGGTGATGTGGTCAGCATCATGCCGGCCGCCTTTACTTCCCAGGGCTGCAGCTGGTACCCACTTAAGGTTGGGCCGACCTGGGAGCTTATAATAGTAGCTCTAATGATAACATTGAGATAGTCTCCCATAGAAAATACAGCAGACAAAATATACAAATATACCTAGACAAGATGCTACAAGTTTAAACTTCAGTATACATACTCACAAGACCATGTTGTAAATCTGAGAACATTATCGCTTATGAGGCTGGATCAGTTATAATTTTATTGCTGATTTACATCATCATCATGTGCCCTGCCAACTGGCATATGTGCTCATGCCTCTCCACAGATCACAATCCCTGGTTGGCTGAACAGCTCTCTTGATGATATCCCTCCATGCCATCATTTCAGCCCATCCAGCATCATCTCTCTTGGTCTGCCTCTACCCCTCTTTCCACTGATCTTTCCAGTTGTCATGATGTTCTCCAAAGTCTTTCTTCTCATTACACGGCCAAAGAACAACGTTTGTCTCCTACTTATTGTATATAGATATCTACTGTCATCAGCTTCTTTCAAACAATCGTTGTTAGTTACTCTGGCCGTCCAAGGTATTCGTAACATTCATCTCAGAAACTACATCTCTGTTGCTTCCAAATTCTTCTTAATTTGTTCAATGACATTCCATGATTCGCTGCCATACAAAAGAACAGGTTCTATGTAACATTTTAGCATTCTCTTGCTGACATTAAATGACAATAACTTATTGCATGAGATATTTTTCCATTTTATGAAATGCTGCCTTTCCTTGACATATTCTGTTTTTAATCTCTGTCCCACATTTTCCATCTGATGATATGATTGTTCCCAGATATTTGAATTTATTGGCTTGGTTAAGTCCTTTTCCTTTAATCAAGATATCACAATGTGGTGTTATCTTCTTCTTTGATATAACCATTGCTTCCGTTTTCTTAACATTCAAGGACAGTTTTTTTCTTAGCACTCTCCATCCCCACAATATCCAGCAGTTATTGTATGTAAATCAGTTGCATATTTAAAAAATCAAAACTGTATCGTCTGCATAACGCAGATTGTTTATATTGTATCCTCCAACTCATTCCTGCTTTCTCTTTAATTTCCCTCAAAATTACTTCACTACACAGAGAGATAAGGTCTAGGGATAAGATACATCCCTGCCTTATTCCTTGCTTCATCTGTTCAAAGCACCCAATCTGTTTCCCACTTTAATTGCTGCTACTTTATTACAGTAAATATTTTCAATTATTCTAAGATCTTTCCCATCTACATTGATGTCTTATAACATTTGTATCATCTCCTCATGTTTAACTTTGTTAAATGCTTTGGTATAATCTATAAAGCACAAGTCCTTCTGTATGTCCCCTGATCTTTCTATCAGTGTTTGTAATATATATATTGCATTACTTGTCCCTTTATTTTCAAAAAATCCATACTGCTCTTCACTCATTTCCATTCTTTTTTTCTTCTTATTGTCATTATAATTCTAATTAGTAATTTATTGACATGATTTATTAAATTGATTGTACAAAATTCTTCACATTCAATTGCTTCTAGTCTTTTGGGTAACGCAGTAAAGACACGTTTCATATCATTTGGTATATATCCAGTGTTATAAATGTCATTCATCAGTTTAGTTAATATTTCTACCCAAAATTTCCCCAGTACTTCTACCGAAATTCCATCTGCCGGCTGACTTTTTTTTCTTAATATATGCTTGCTGACTTCTTCTTTAGTATTGGCAGCCCTTCTAAATTTCTTACTTCTGGTAATTCTGCTCTCTTTCCATCATAAAACTCTCTTATGTATGTTCATTTAATCTAATTATTATATCATCTTCCTCTATTATGATCTCTCCTGCTTTTGATTTCAGACATCCTGTGTTTACTCTTATGTTTCTTCCAGTTAGATCACTAATTTGTTTGTGCACACATTTTGCATCTTCAACAGGACTGTGTTCAATTTTCCTGCATTGTTCATTTAGCCAATCTTCGTTTGCCCTCAGACAAAAGCGAACAAATAAAATACTGTGTAAAGCCCACCTGTTGATAGATGTCATCTTGCCATAGACTACATTAACCCAGGTTCTCAGAGCCATCTTGGCATAATCACCGTGGTTGTAGCAGTAGCTGAAAGATTGTAGACTTACAATGAAAACCCAACAAAATAAAAATCACTAAATAAAGAAAAAAAAGTTAATAAACTGCAGAGTACTGATGCATTGTGAAGTTGCTTCAAGATCTTTACAATATTTCTTGAACTCCTTAGGCAAGGCGCTTGCCTGCCAGCCTAAAGGTCTGAGGTTCAAATCTTTATCATGTCAGAAATGACCTTGGCTCCCAGGTCTATCCAGCCTAAAAAGGGAAGTAGGTAATGACCTGGAAAGTAAAGACTGCTGCCATGCTGCTGACCACATTTCCCACTGAATACCACTTGGTCTATTAAAAAAATAAATATAATTCTAACATTAGGTGCCTGACATTCCACTCGAGTGGGAAGGGTTTTTTGACATTTAAAAAAAATTTAAACGAACAGACAGAATAAAAGAGCTGGGAACCTCCATATATGAAGCCAACAAATGGGAACTCCCCAGCTATTTATACTTGACCTCGGTCATAAGATAAACAGAAGTAAGAAGATATAAGATGAGATGAGCTTAGGTGAGGTGAGATGAAGTGGGGGGGGGGGGGGGGGGAGGTGTAATGACATGAGATGAGGTGAAGTGAGATGGGATGGCATTAGGGGAGGTGAGATGAGAAAAGGTGAGGTGAGAAAAGGTGAGGTGACAAGATGTGGCTAAATGAAATGCAGTGATGTGGCACGATATGAGATGAGATAAGGTGAATTAATATGAGGCGAGATAAAGTAAGGAGAGATGAGATGGGCGGGTGAGATCAGAAAATATGTGGTGAGATGAGATGAGGTAATGTGTGACGTTGTAAGGGAGAGGAGTTGATGAGATGAATACACAGATCAGAACAAGAACTTAACCAAAATATGAGAAGTGGATCTGGTAGGAAAAGAGGTTCTGCTTGGAGACAGAGTTTGCCTAAGGGAGGAGACAATATTGGATGGGTTTACACACCGACACTAAAGAGGAATGTAAAAAGAACCTTTCAAAATTGTTGCTTGTGGATAAACATTAACTGCCGGTTCTGCTCAACAAGTCACATGCTGATGGTAATAATCAAAAACAGCAGACAATAGAAACGAGTGTACCAGATACATTAAATGCCACTGGATCCTTCTGGAAAAAAATACATGGTAACTGAGCCCCTCCCCACATAGTAAAAAAGATGTTGGTACTCACCATGAAGTATTATAAATAAAACTGCTAGTACTCACTATAGTTCTTTTCTTTTAACTCACCCCCAAACAAAGAAAATCCCAGAATCCTCAGGGAAAGTCCAATACTCTAGGAGTGTAATGTGTTGGTTGTTTTCAGTTTACTGTGTTATAATTCTCAATGTATTTTTTTTTTTGGGCGTCATCATTCTCAGTGTTTCTTTCATTTATCGTCATCACTCTGCCTGTTTTTGAATTGGTTCTTACTTGGTTACTTTGTCTGAATTTCCTTGGCCTGTCAGCATTGGTGCATGACAAGCAGAGTAGCATTGCTTTTCTGCAGCAGCAAGGCATCTTGCCTGACACTGCTCTAAGAATCATCTCATGGTGTTGTCACTGAGTGAGCATCAGGACCATTGAAAATGCCGGCATTCCAACTGCCGGCAGGATATCCCTCTCAGGAAAGGCACGTGGCTACAAGGCTCATGTCTGTTTGCCTTACAGACAGGTCATTCTTCTTTTGTGCACCACTGGTCCGATGACTTACTAAATATGCTGATACAAACTTAGTATATCTGCTAGTATAGACAAGCTATATCTGCTGGTTCAGACTTACTATATATGCATGTACAAACTTACTAAATATGCGTGTAGAGACTTACAATTAATGCTCGTGCAGAATTACAGTACATGGTCATTCTGACTGATTATGCATGCTGGTACAGACTTACTACATATGTATGTACAGACTCATTATATATGCATGTAGAGAGGTACCTATGGAAAGTTTGTGCCAACAAAATTAGTAAATCCTGTAGTATTTAGAAGACCCAATACCACAGTCGAGACGATTCACCTGTTCAAAAATTCAAGATAGGACAAGTTTCCCCACAGCATACATACACTGAGACTGTCGACCCTTTTCCCCCCCCCCCCCCCCCCCCCCCCCCCCGTCCTCCTCCCAATATGATGCTTTTCAGACACCCTCTCCCCCTCCAACGTCTTTTCCCAAAAAATCCTCCTTTCTCATCCCCTCAGACAGTTGCACAAAGCGTTCGCTCACACATAAAGAAAGTTGCACAGTTTGGGAAAAACATTCGCAAGCACATAATGTTTCGCCAGTTTACCAATCCGTTGCACCCTTTTTCCACACACTGTACGAACACCATACAAAGTCGTATGGTAACACCCTAGAATATTGGACTTTCCGGGGATTTCAGGATTTCCTTTGCTTGGGGTGAGTTAAAAGAGAAGAACCCCGACTATAAAGTGCTGATTACATTAGTGCTGAAAAATGCTTACAAAAAGGTGCTGGTACTGCATACCACTGGGAACTGCCAGAAAGAAAAAGCCCTGCATATTACTAAAGTGGAGCATACTAACACCTAAAATATGGTACACACCATACTAACAGCACTGCAAGTGTTGTATACAACATACTTTCAGCACTTAATGTGTTGTTTACAACGACTGTATAGTATCCACCCTTAAAATGTTGCATAAAGCATACTACTAGCACTTCAGTGATTGTATACAGCATAGAACCAGGCCTTAAAATTTGCGTACAGCATGCTAATGGCACTTAAGGTGTTACATATAGCATATTACCGCACTTAAAGTGTTGCATATAGCATACTAACTACACCTAAAATGTTGCATACAACAGCTAACAGTGCTTAAAATGCTGCACACAGCATGCTCACAGCACTCAAAAGTGTTGCATACAGCATGCTAACAGCAATTAAAATGTTGCATATAACATGCTAACACAAGTGTTGCATATAGCATATTACTGCACTTAAAGTTTTGCATATAGCATGCTAACTACACTTAAAATGTTGCATACAACAGCTAAAGTGCTTAAAATGCTGCACATAGCATGCTAGCAGCACTCAAAGTGTTGCATACAGCATGCTATCAGCAATTAAAATGTGTATAGCTTGCTAATAGCACTTAAAGTGTTGCATTTGGCATATTACTGCACTTAAAGTGTTGCATATAGCATGCTAACTGCACTTAAAATGATGCATAAAACAGCTAACAGTGCTTAATATGCTGCACATAGCATGCTCACAGCACTTAAAGTGTTGCATATAGCATGCGAACTGCACTTAAAGTGATGCATATAGTATACTTCTGGCATCAGAAATACTATACATAATGTAATAAATACACACAGAATGTTTTAGATAGAATAGCAGCAGCTCTGAGCATGACACATATAACACACTAACAGCCCTACAAGTGGTGCACACACCTATGCGATAAAAACAACTCCATGATTTCATTCGGGGGCAAGTCTCCAGGAATGCCATGTGGTGAGATCAGAGTGACATTGTTGAATCTCAGATGTGGGCTTGAGAAAGAAAACAATACAGCTAGCTGTATATAGTCATTAAAAAATTATTTTAAAAAAAAACAAAAACACCATGCTCCTGAACACACGGAAACAGTTTTTTTTCCCCGTTTTTATGGCATGTACTAATAAATTCCATCAGTAAAGCAAACATTTTAAAACAGATCATCAAGTTCTGAGAAAAATGGTGCTGCGAGGAGGGACCAGGGATCTGGCCAACGCTTAACACTCAAGGGAAAGGCAGGACAGATACACAATCAGACTGTTTCTGGTGCCAACAAAACTGCAACTCTGTGCTTGCTGCTGAAGGTTAGTACAGAATGCTTATGGCAATGTCCTGAGTGCTGTGATATCAATTTTTCATGTGAAATTTAAGATTCAGAATTGTTAAATGTAGTGAAACCTCTATAAGTTGACCACAAATGGGGACGGTAGCAAAACCAGTCATCTTATAAAGGTAATCATGCAATAAGGCTTATGGTACCGACAACATACTTCACTGAAAAACTTACCTAAATGAGACAGTGAGGCACATTTCATATGATTTGCACTGGCACAGGATCAGAGCAAGTAGGGGTAAACCCTACTGCAGGGAAGTTGAAACCTTGATTAAGACTGAGACTAGGCACTGTTATGCTGGTTTGTACTTTGGTCAATTTCGCTAGGAAAATTCTTTCCAGATCTGGTTCATTACATTTAATATGCACAGTCTGGTCAGGTACTTATGGGAAACAACTGCAATCATTCGGGTCTTCTCACAGGCAATGTGCATAAGGTGCACTAGATAGTCAAACAGGTGGATAATATAATTACTATTTCAGGGAAAAAATGATTATAAAACTCTTTTTATTGCCTGAATTTACCAATTTTTTAAGGTGCTTTATTGCAAAAGGAGGGGGGGGGGGGGGGGGGGGGGAGTTCATCCTCCACTGCAACAAAAACCTTCAAAATTTATTCCTTCAAATTATGCCATTCGTGATAGATTGTCAAATGGGATTTCAACAGCATGCTCTTGGGTTATGACAAATCCAGTTTTCTTGAAACACTTCTGAATCATTTCCAGTTGAACTTTGTTCAAAGTGGAACAGATGTGGAGTGCTGCATCCACTGCATTAGCTAATGCAGCAAATGAAAATGATTAAATAGGTGGAACAAAGATATATTTTTTTAGTAATGAGAAAAATCCAGTTGTGCATTTTAAATGTTTTGATAACACTTTGGTCAAGAGGTTGTTTTGTTTTGTTTTTTCCTAAGGTTACTTTTGATGACAGAAGTTCCAAGGTCACATAAGTGAGATGATTACACTTATGGGTGGCCAGGACAGTTGTCTTCAGTCAGTTTCTCCTTCTTCATTTCTCAGGCAGTGTCACTTACCCACACCTCACATAGCGCTAGTCGTCCAAGCCAGTTTGTTTGATTCCCAAGTAATGGGGATGTCTTTGGGCTTTGGATTCTTGAATGTGAATAGGTTTGCCAATATACCAGTCATCAAGGGCTTTAACTTCGCTCTGGCTGATATAGCTTATAGCACATCTGTGATATGCTGCTGCGGAAAGTTTTCAGCTATTACATGCGTCATTCTTCATAGTGAGTCTATTGTCAGGCATGACCTTGACAAAGAGTCCGCACTCATCAGTAATAAAGATTTCATTATATTTAAAGCCTCTAGTGAAGTGACAGAAAATTTAAATCCTCCATAGCTCTAATGGAAATTCATTTTTCAGCTTACATTTCTCAAGCCAACCACTTGATACTTTCAAATCTTCTGCCAATCTGAATTTATGCGTGTAAATTTAGCATCTTCTAATACCATCACATCAGAGATTCAGGTATTAATGACATTCATTTGTTTGAACTAGTCCAATGGGGCTTCACTAATGTGAGGTTTTTTATATTTCACTGTCAATCTTCCACTTTCCTTAAACGACTATTGAAATCAAAGAAAATAGTAACAGTATGCTCAATATAGATAAAAGAAAATAAACTTGAAACATAAGAACAATTACAATCCAAGGATTTGCAGACACTCACCAGTAAACAAATGTCTCCAGAAATGCAACACCCACATCTGATGCTCCCACTACAACAATGCGGGCATTGATTGTAACCTTTATGAGGAAACAGAAAGCATGTAATCAAATTAAAAACCTCTCTTTGATAAGAGAAATAATAAAGCATGTTCCAAGGGCTATTCCACAATCAACCTTCGATTGGCTGGTAAAAAAAAAAAAACCTAGCCAAAGCAAAACCCTTCATTGCTTACATCATTCAGTAGTCTATTAGGCTCACTATACACCAACCTACAGCTGCAACTGCATTTATTCAGTGGTTTATGAATTGTGAACAAATAAACATAGACACTTAGAGAGTTCCTTATGTGGGTTCAAGGGCCACCTGATGGAGAGAAAAAAAAGAATAGATTCAGTGTCCAACAACAAGCATGTCATTAAAAAAAAAAAAAAAAAATTAAGCAGTTTGCTCAAATCATATTTGTTGCCATAAATATCACAGAGTAGCTGTAAACGACAATATCAAGCCAACCACCCTGTAAGGGGTGAATGCAGAAGAAAAAGAATGATGGAAGAAGGTTGTTAGTAAATAACTATGCTGGTAGAGACTGACTATATGTGCTGATACAGACTGACTATATATGCTGGTACAGACTGACTATATTTGCTGGTACAGACTAACTATATATGCTGGTACAAACTGACTATATTTGCTTGTACAGACTGACTATATATGTTGGTACAGACTGACTTTATATGCATGTACAGACTTCATATGCATGTACAGAATTACTATGTGTTGGTACAGACTTACTATATATACAGGTATAGACTTACTTTATACTCATGTACAGACACATCTGAGTATATATGTTGGTACAGGCTGATTATATATACGCTGGTTCATGCTGAATGTATACTCTGATACAAACTGATTATATATGTTGATACAAACTAACTATTTATGCTGAAACAAACTGACTTTATCTGCTGGTGCAGACTGCCTTTATATGCTGGTGCAGACTGATTATTTATGCTGTTACAGACTGATTATTTATGCGGTACAGACTGACTATATATATGCTGGTAAAGACTGACTATATATGCTAGTGCAGGTTGACTATATAAGATGGTACAGACTGACTATATATGCTGGTGCAGACTGATTATTTATGCTGGTACAGACTGATTATTTATGCTGGTACAGACTGACTATATATGCTGATAAAGACTGACTATATATGCTGATACAGACTGACTATATATGCTGGTGCAGACTGACTATATATGCTGGTGCATACTGACTATATATGTTGATACAGACTGACTATATATGCTGGTACAGACTGACTATATATGCTGGTACAGACTGACTATATATGCTGACACAGACTGACTATATATGCTAATACAGACTGACTATACATGCTGGTGCAGACTGACAATAAATGCTGGTACAGACTGATTATTTATGCTAGTACAGACTGACTATATATGCTGGTAAAGACTGACTATATATGCTGGTAAAGACTGACTATATATGCTGGTGCAGACTGACTATATATGCTGGTACAGACTGACTATATATGCTGGTGCAGACTGACTATATATGCTGGTGCAGACTGACTATATATGCTGGTACAGACTGACTATATATGCTGGTACAGACTGACTATATATGCTGGTGCAGACTGACTATATATGCTGATAAAGACTGACTATATATGCTGATACAGACTGACTATATATGCTGATACAGACTGACTATATATGCTGGTGCATACTGACTATATATGTTGATACAGACTGACTATATATGCTGGTGCAGACTGACTATATATGCTGATATAGACTGACTATATATGCTGACACAGACTGACTCTATATGCTGGTACAGACTGACTATATATGCTGATACAGACTGACTATATATGCTGGTGCATACTGACTATATATGTTGATACAGACTGACTATATATGCTGGTGCTGACTGACTATATATGCTGATATAGACTGACTATATATGCTGACACAGACTGACTCTATATGCTGGTACAGACTGACTATACATGCTGGTGCAGACTGACTATATTTGCTGTTGCAGACTGACTATATATGCTTGTAAATACTGACTATATATGCTGGTACAGACTTACTATATATGCTGGTGCAGACTGACTATATATGCTGGTGCAGACTGACTATATATGCTGGTACAGACTGATTATTTATGCTGGTACAGACTGACTATATATGCTGATGCAGGTTGACTATATATGATGGTACAGACTGACTATATATGGTGGTGCAGACTGACTATATATGCTGATACTGACTGACTATATATGCTAGTACAGACTGACTATATATGCTGATAAAGACTGACTATATATGCTGATACAGACTGACTATATATGTTGATACATACTGACTATATATGCTGGTGCATACTGACTATATATGCTGGTACAGACTGACTATATATGCTGACACAGACTGAATATATTTGCTAACACAGACTGACTCTATATGCTGGTGCTGACTGACTTTATATGCATGTACAGACTCATTTCATATGATTGTATAGAATTCTATCTATAAAAAAATCAATGTTTGTGTGTTATTTTGCCCCTTATAGACTCGGAAACTACTGAACCGATTTAGCTGAAATTTTCAGGATATGTTTGTTTTGATACCGGATGTTGAACCATCATGGTTTGAAATTCAACCTGTCACTGTTAGAGATAGGTGACCACAATATAAGCCATAATATTCGAAACTAATATTTATAATTTTTGTGATTTCTAATTATAGCCACGTTAGTAATTGCGCATGCGCCGTAGTCAGAACGCAAGGCTTCCGCCATTCGCCGGCGAGATACGTGAAGCCAACGCCTTCTCTAATACATAGAGTAGGTCGTGGTACAGCAAACAAGACTATCTCTATATTTGCAACAATAACCATATTAAACACGATTTCTATTTTCTGTTT